TTGTCCTTTACTCCCCTGTACAGACTTCAGCCCTCTTGGCCTTGGCCTTGGCCTGCAGGTTACTCTGGCTGCAGGCCTCTAGACTGGGCCCACTTGGTTTGGCCAAGTTTCTTGGCCCCAACCTATCTCTTTCTTGGCACCAACCTCCCCCTTTGGCTGGAGCCTGTCCCACTCTCTCTCTTGTCTATTCTCTCTCTCAGTCTATAGTGCCCTGCTTCTGGCAGGTCCAAACATGGAGTGCCTCTCTGGTGCCCCTGCATGGCCTCCTAACCACCCATACATAGGGTGGCCATCATAGAGGACAGTCCGGTTGTCCTCTGTCCTCTATTGATACAAAACTGGATGCCTTTATGTCCTCTATTTTTCTCCTGAAGAGAGAAATAGAGGACATAAAGGCACTGGTTTTCGTATCAAGAGGACAGAGTAGCAGAAAACCGGAATGGTCTCTATGATGGCTACACTACCCATACAGCGACCACTTGGTTCTCAGTTATTTACTATCTCTACCACAGCAAAGCAGAAGACAACACCCTTCTTGGTACTCACTAAAGAAATAATAAGCCAAACTCAAAGTCACATCTACCCTGGGGAACCTTAAAACAAAAGAATGCTCCTCCACTTACCTGCCAGGGCTTCCCTTACTGCCACTCCAGGTTCCACAATAGGAAGACTGGGAGGTCTACATCCTTTCCCATCCTGGGCTAGATTAAGCCTGCTGTCATGAGGGCAAGTCTCTTATACTGATAAGTCGTTCTCCTTTCAGTCATTCTAGCCATGTATAAGTCCATTGTTCTCTCATTGGTCCATTTAGCTCTGCTTGGTTTCAGGGCACTCATAACACAGATGTTGGGGACTGATCAAACCCTGTCTTATCTTCCTGTATTGTTTTTGTCTGTGTTATCCTCCCTTGAGCCACAAAGACTCTATTCTTAAATGGCTCTCACAAAGCTGCTTATCCCCTTCTTCCAGAAACAGGGTAAGTGTTCCCTGTTACTCCAGCACAGCTGATCCACTTCAGTAGGCAAAATAAATGTCATTTGTTCCGCCTGTTGATGCTGTGAAACAAAGAGCAACATTTTCATATGGCTTGAGGTTCTCAGTCCTGCATATGCCACATATTTCTGCATTGGATTAGGCCTCAACCCCTGTAAGTGCCTGCCTGGCCTTTCCATTTAGTGAGATGTGCTCCTGGAATCTCCTGGAAACCCCAACATTCCTGGCTTACCAGCACATACCCCAGAGCTTTCCAGGGGTGCATCTCTAGAACCAAGAAAGCTGGGAAGGAGCTTCCCAGGCTTGAGGGGCCTGATCCTGAACAGGAATTCATCTTTGTACTATTGCCGTGAAATTGATATATGACCAATTACAAAAATTAGATGTATACAAGTCAGCGGGATCGGATGACCTTCATCTGAGAGTGCTGAAGGAGCTCGCCGAAGTCATTGAGGAACCCCTGGCAAAACTCTTCCACAATTTGTGGGACTCTGGAGAAGTCCCTGAGGACCAGAAGAGGGCCAATGTTGTGCCTATCCACAAGAAGGGCAGGAGGGAGGACCAGGGTAACTGTGGGCTAGTCAGCCTAAACTCCATCATAGGGAAAATCCTAGAAAAGTTCATCAAGGTGTCTATCTGTGATAAGCTTGCAGAAGGTAAGATTCTGAATGACAGCCATCATGGCTTTGTTGTGGGCAGGTCTTGCCTTACCAACCTCATCTCCTTCTATGATGAGGTAACTCACCACCTGGACATGACAGAGCAGGTTAACATTGTATATCTAAACTTCCAAAAGGCCTTTGATGTAGTATCTCACGATGTCCTCATGAGAATTGGAGGATTGTGGGCTTAACTCTAAGACAGTCAGGTGGGTGAGAAACTGGCTGAAGGATAGAACTCAGAGAGTCATAGCGAACAGATCTGTGTCATCCTGGCAAGAAGTTTGCAGCGGTGTCCCGCAAAGGTCAGTACCCAGTCCAGTACTTTTCAACATCTTTATTAACCATTTGCATGTGGGGGTGAAGAGATTACTGGCCAAGTTCGCGGATGACACCAAGTTATAGGGAAGCGTGGTCATGCTTGAAGATAGGCTACAGTTACAAGTGGACCTAGACAGACTAGCAAGTTGGGCAGATTGGAACCTGATGAAGTTCAGTGTTGAGAAATGTAAAGTGCTCCACCTAGGGCCAAGCAACCCCACACACCTACAGACTTGGCAGCACCAAACAGACTAGCACCACAAATGAAAGGGACCTGGGGGTAATAATACATTACAGTATGAATATGAGCCAGCAGTGTGACGCTGTAGCCAGTAGGGCAAATAATACTCTGGCATGCATCAACCAATGCATCTCCAGTAAAGCCAAGGAAATGATTCTTTCGCTCTACTCAGCACTGGCGAGACTGCAGCTGAAGTACTGCATCCAGTTCTGGGCACCAAACTTTAACAAGGATGTGGAAGAGCTTGAGAGAGTCCAAAGAAGAGCCACCCATATGATCCGTCTTAAAAGGCAGGACATACGAGGAAAAGCTGAGGGATCCAGGACTCTTCAGCCTGAGGAAAAGAAGGCTGAGAGGGAACCTGGTAGCAGCTTACCACTACACTAGGGGGGTACATCAAGGGCTTGGTGAGCAACTCTTCAGCAGGACAACCAAGGGGAAAACTAGGAGTAATGGCCACAAACTCCTGGAAGATTGATTCAGGCTCAACATTAGGAAAAACTTCTTCACAGTCAGGGTGTCCAGACTGTGAAATGAGCTCCCTCCAGAGGTGGTGCCATCACCTACCCTGGAAATCTTCAAGAGAAGACTAGACAGTCACTTTGCTGGGGTCACCTGCTTGGTGCAGGGGGCTGGACCCGATGAACTTCCAAGGTCCCTTCCAGCCTTACAATCTATGAATCTATGAATCATGAAGCATATGGACAAAATCAATAAGGTACTGTTATTCACTAAATCCCAGAATACTACAACTAGAAGAAACCCACAGAAATTAGCTGGAGAAATATTTAAAACTAACATGAAAAAATACTTTTTAAAGCAGTGAGTAATGAACTTGTGGAACTCATCACAGGAGATTGTAGGGGCAGATAACATATCCAGGTTCAAAAATGAACTAGACAAATTTGTAGAAGACAAATGGATTAATAACTATTAAACACAGCAGTGATAGATATATCCCTTGTTATCTCTAAACCAATGATGAAGGACCCAATGAAGGGTATGATGGAGAGTATAAATTTTCAAGAAAAGACTAGACAGTCACCTTGCTCGGGTCACCTGGCCCCCAGTTATCTTTCCTGCTTGGTGCAAGGGGCTGGACCCGATGAACTTCCAAGGTCCCTTCTAGCCTTACAACCTATGAATCTATGAATCATATATCGTGTAGGACCAGAACCCTCAAGCCCAGGCACAACCTGCTTATAGAAGGCAAGTGTAGGCAGCTCCAGGCTGCCCGCGTTCTTTTGCCATAAAGCAAATGGATATCTACCACAATATGACTGTCACAATTTATTACTATATTTTATTGTGGCTACATTGTGCTATGACAAAAGGTATGAACATGTATTTGCTGTTTAAAGGTGATGACAGACAACATCTGTTTCTACCCATATAGACATACCAGCGCTAACTTTAGGTTATTGAACTCAAGTGCCATTGAAAGTGTAAGCTAGTCCAGGAGAGATGCCTACACATTTACTCAAAATGTGGATTTTTCAGGCTACACTGAGTTCCATACTTTCATGAGTACCTCACTAGCAGAACCCAAGCTTGTCAATTTAAAATAGCCTACACATGCTGCACTCAAAGCAATAACTGTACTTCAGACAGACTCCAGAAGGAGTTCACACTTCCATTTCCATTGCTTTTCCTCCATGTCTAGTTACTTGGGGTTCTGATAACAGCAAGTGTTAATGTTTTGTTATGGGACTCTGGAAATGTCAACACATTCGAAATCAGCAACAACATTTATTTTTCCCTTGAAATATCCAAATGTCTTTAAATGTGACTTTCCTTCTCCAGCTGTGTGTTCTTACCTAGTGATGATTGTGTTATGATGACCTTTACATGATTCAGTAGATTCAGGAGCTGCAGGGAAGAACTTTAAGGGCTTGCTGTTTTGTCTTATGTAAAAATGTTCATTTGCTGAAATGCTTTAGTGTTCAGTGGACTGAGTTGAGTACTTAAAAAGATTAATTTTAACAAACAGTCCCAAACCACTTTTTCAACTTCATAGTGTCTTTGGGTCCACATGATGTCATAACAGCCTTTAAGAGTAGCACAGTCTACTGTTTATTACACTGCCAACCCAGGTAATTGAACTGCTGTCTGCAACCTATCAGCTTTCTAGAGCTAATGTCATTTTCTTTCTTAAATACCAGGTGAATGATATATTCATAATTGTTATATTCCACTCATTTGTCACTGAGAAATCAACTTAACACAACATTTAGATGATCATCTGTACTATGGAATAACTAAAAATGCACATTTTCCTGTTGTAATACTTATTGCCACCTTGAAATATGTAGATTTTAATTTTTCCTCTTCCCTGGTGGCAAAGCTAGCAAACATGTTAACATTTTTTGTTTAAAGAAAGGCATATCAATTGAACCATTACACTGAAATTTATACTTGGAATATGTGGTAAAGGTATAATATAAAATGGTCAGCATTGATCCGACTATTTACATTGAAATTAAATTCCCACAGTTTTCAATGAGAAATTAATGAAGGTCAAAGCAAGGTACTTTTGAAAATCCTACTGTGAAATGACAGCATACCTCTAACTTCAAATAATAATAGTATGCTACAGCAATGCATTAATGGTACTTGTAATAGCAATAGATCATTTCAAATATGTATGTCTATAAGCATTTCAAGCATTCTGATAGAGTTTTGAGTATTCAAACTTTAAGGAAAATGAAAAATGGACAGCACTACAATTTTTTCCAACAGTTTAAATTAATCCACACTAGTTTTAAACAGTAGTTATGTGATCCTACCTGTGGGTCAGACAATCTGGATAGATCAGGATACAGGTAGAATTTTATCCCTTCAGAAGCCCCTGGTAAAGTTACTCCTCGAATAAGAAGAATCAGTAGCATCATATATGGGAATGTGGCTGTTACATATACCACCTATCAAAAAGAAAAACAACATGAGAAAATATCTTTTTCCAACAAAGTGTTCACTGCAATTATTTTCTTTACAGTAGCCCAGACACAGTACAGTACATGATGCTTTATAAAAACAGCCGAGTCTTACTCTAACATTTTAAATAGTCCTTTGTGATGGGATGAATTCTGCCCCCAAGTGTATAGAAATTCCCCATCTTGTAG